TTGAGAAAAACCAAGTTCATGATGACTACGGCAATCTGTAACTTGTTTGAACAACTGGAAATGATTTTAATTACAAACAAATTAATAGAATTTGGAACCCTGAAGCAATTTAAGACTTTTTCTGGAATCCCGACTGTCTTACCTCAGTATATAAATCCTTAAGAATCTGAGGGCAAAATTGTAGACCGGCGTCCAGAAGTTGCAGAGATTTCTTGTCTCAACGATAAGTCTGATGGCGGCCAAATGAGGATGATTCAGCGTCTTCACTTTCAATCTCCACTCCAAGGTTCCGAGTCAGCTGACAGTTGTCTCGAACCACCGCTCTGATTGGTTGTCCTGACTTGTTCGAAAGCTCGCTCCGTTTCAGTACCGTACTAGCGTTGATTATGGTTTTAGGGTGTCCAACACAATTAAACTCCGCTGGATACTATATTCGGTCCACTGTGACGCGTCAAACAGTGTAGATATTTAACATGGAGTGATCAGTTCCATGACGAATAATTGGGGCGGCCTTTTAACCGTGACAATCTCTTTGCTCACAGGAAGCCAGTCCTGCTAATCAAATCCCTAAAACTGTAATTTTAGGCACAACACTGGTTAAAGTTACTGCTCAAAATAACGTTTCTCATGTGTTCAGAGCATTGATTGATAGTGGCAGCATGTGTGATTTTATTAGTGAAAAAGCTGCTCAACTACTGAATGCACCTCGTTTCAAATCCAACTTACAAGTAGTTGGTCTTTCTCAATCTCCAACTCTCACAAAGGGTATTGTGAACCTCACTGTTAACACACTGGCAGGAAAATTAGTTGCATCCAACCATGAAGTGCACATACTTGATAAAATATCTGTCAATCTCCCTAGATCTCAAATATCACAAAGAGTTCTATTGAAAGTAAAACCTTACCCCCTTGCTGATCCCAGCTTCCACTTATCAGGGCCCATTGACATGCTGATCGGAGCTTCTCTCTTCCCTCTTCTTTTAACGAATGAAAACTATTCTCTCGGCCCTAACATGCCTAACATGATGGGAACTCACTTTGGCTTTGTTGTTATGGGGAATGCACCTTGTTCAACCGATTCCCAGCCTGCCAACACTCCATCCATCTCTCTGCTCTCAACGGTTGACAACGAATTGCATAACTCTCTACAGAAATTTTGGAAATTAGAGGAATTATCTGTACCCTCAAAGATATCGGTTGAAGAGCAACAGTGTGAAGATCTGTTTAAAGCTACCCACTCTAGGGACGAAAATGGCCGTTACTTAGTTCAGCTACCATTTAAAGAAAATCATCCACCTTTAGGATCTTCCAAACTCATCGCAGAACGACGTTTTCACTCACTTGAACGACGTTTTGCACTCTCTCCTGATTTGTATAAAGCTTACTCTGACAATATAAATGAACACATCTCTCAAGGTCATATGGTAAAACTACCTCATCTAGATATCAACTCTCCTCACTATTTCTTGCCACACCATGCAGTTGTGAAACCATCCAGTACCTCAACTAAACTCCGAATCGTTTATGATGCAAGCTGCAAAACCAGCTCTGGAATTTCCCTCAATGATTCTCTCATGACCGGCCCTAAATTACAGACCAACATTTGTGATATATTGCTACATTTCAGAATACACAATATCGTTTTCACTTGCGATATTCGCCAAATGTATCTTCAAATCTTAATCAAACCTTCCGATCAACTGTTCCAACTCGTCTTGTGGCGTGACAATCCCTCTGAAGATATATCCACATACAAACTCACTCGAGTGACTTTTGGAGTAAATAGCTCACCCTACTTAGCGATTCGTACCCTCCACCAGTTAGCTGAAGACGAAGGTAAAGACTTCCTTGAAGCAGCAAATGTCTTGCGCACTCAGACTTACGTAGACGACATTGTAACTGGAGCAGACACGGTAGATGAAGCAAAGAACCTTCAAAATCAACTCATTCAACTACTCAACCGTGGACACTTTGAACTTCGAAAATGGACTTCAAATTCTCCCGAGCTTCTTCAGTCTCTTCCAGACACTCATAAAGACTCTCCAGTCTTTCTTGAAATTACACCTGATCCCCATTTCTCAATTCTTGGCCTACACTGGTCTCCAGACTCGGACAATTTTTCATTTCATCTCAACCTACCGCCAAAAACACTAACTAAACGTCACGTTCTCAGTCTAGTCGCTAAAATATACGATCCTTGTGGATTTCTTAGCCCATGTACTATGACAGCGAAATGTTTTATTCAACTTCTCTGGACGACCGGTCTACAATGGGATGAACCTCTCACTCCAGAACTTAGTGCAATTTGGAGTAACTTTATCTCAGCGATACCAGCACTTGCAGACATTCAGATCCCTAGAGCATTGAAAATCTCTCCAAATTCTAGTGTTGAACTTCACGGCTTCTCAGACGCCTCTGAACGTGGGTTTTCAGCTGTTGTCTATGTACGATGTTCCCAACCCAACGGAGAAGTGACTACACGTATGGTTTTATCCAAAACTAGAGTCGCCCCACTCAAGAAGGTGACTCTTCCACGATTAGAACTCTGCGCTGCCCACTTATTAGCTCAACTCGTAAACTTCTGTTGTTCTTCATTCAAACCCTTAATTTCACTCAACCAATGTTATTTGTGGTGTGATTCTTCAGTAACCTTGACATGGCTTCAAACTCCATCTTACAGGCTGAAAACATTCGTGGCTAACAGAGTCGCCCAAACACAAGAACTTGTCCCCTATCACTGTTGGCGTTACATCCCTAGCAAGGAAAACCCTGCTGATTGTGCTTCAAGAGGTATTCTAGCCACTGAGCTTGTGTCTCACCCCCTTTGGTGGTCAGGGCCTTCTTGGCTTTCTCTTCCCCCTTCAAACTGGCCTGATGTAACTTTTTCACCTACAGATATCTCAACATTAGATGAAGTAAAACACACTCCTCTAACTGTACTTGTGTCAACTACCACTGAATCTACGCTGACCAATCTTCTCATTAAATATTCTTCATGGGAACGACTTCTTTGGATTTTTGCTTACGTCCTTCGTTTCATACACAACTGTAAAGGTTCTGAAAAACGCCAAGGTTTCATCTCAACACAGGAACTGAAAGACACAAAATATCACATTTTTAAACTTGTACAAAAAGAAGTATTCACAGAAGAAATCAACTGCCTCAAACGGAAATCATTTTGCTCCACTCGTTTACAACGTCTTTCACCTTTCATTGACTCATTTGGATTATTGCGTGTTGGAGGACGTCTTTCTCAGACATCACTTCCTGAAGATGCTCGACATCCCATTATTCTGCCAAAAAAGCATCATGTGGTAAATCTCCTCATTGACCACTACCATATCTACAATCTTCATTCAGGCCCTCAGCTTACTCAAGCATTACTTTACAAACATGTTTGGATACTGTCTGCCCGTTGTGCCATACGCTCTCGTATCCATAAATGTGTCAGATGTTTCAAAGTCAAACCTAGAAATGTGTGTCCTCTCATGGCTGATCTCCCTCAGTCTCGTGTAACTCCTGCTCGACCTTTCCTCCACACCGGCATAGATTATGCAGGACCTTTTACTGTAAAAATCTTCAACCTCAAGGCAGTGAGACACATAAAGTCATACTTTTGTACTTTCATCTGCCTCGTCACGAAAGCTGTACATTTGGAAGTAGTAACAGACCTAACGACTGAATCTTTCATTGCTGCAATGACTCGATTTGTATCTCGCAGAGGACATTCTTCCGACATTTACTCGGATTGTGGGTCCAACTTCATTGGTGCTGACTCTACCCTACGCAAGATTGTTGAAAAATCTCTTTATTGTCAAGACTCCAAACGGAAGATTCAACGATTCTCTTCACTTAAAGGCATCAATTTTCATTTTAATCCACCAGCCGCTCCGCATCAAGGAGGATTGTGGGAATCGTCTGTAAAGAATGTGAAACATCATCTCCGTCGAGTAATGGGAAACTCAGTCTTAACACTCATTGAATTCATCACATTGTTGACCCAAATCGAAGCAATGCTCAATTCCCGACCACTGACACCTCTTTCAAATGATCCTTCGGATCTCGCAGCACTGACTCCCGGACACTTCCTGATTGGTGCACCCCTCACAGCAGTACCTGAACCTAATCTCCTGACAGTTCCTGAAAACCGTCTCAAGCAATGGCAGCTAGTTCAAGCATTTCATCAACGCATATGGCATAGATGGCACCTAGAATACTTAAACAACTTGCAACAACGTACCAAGTGGACTCGGAAATCAAAAAATCTTGAAGTGGGTGACCTTGTTTTGGTACATATGGACTCACCACCTCTCTCGTGGCCTCTCGCTCGAATTACAGCAGTTCATCCAGGGGCTGATGGGGTTGTGCGAGTGATAGACTTAAAAACATCAAGTGGCAACCTCAGAAGATCTGCCCACAAAGTGTTTCCCCTGCCAACTGTGGATTCGTGAACTGTTTTTGTTGAATCCACTGGGGATTCAAGGCCCCCGGTATGTTCAGTAAACTTTAACCATTCATATTATTTAACACTCTATGTTTTATTTAATGTACATCTCTTTTCCTTGCAACTAACATGTGTTCTTAATCAAATTAAATTATTCTCTATTGCTAACACATGTTGTGTATAAAAAAGTAAATAAAACAGTGCTTGTTCTCCTATCCCAAAAGTGTGTTCATTTTTTTCTCCTCTTATAATCTCCATTTAATTTCATTCTCTACAAATCATTCATTAGGTGAACTGGAAATAATTGTGGTGGTGAATCAGACTGTGGTTTTTGACTGCATCCGCTCATGGGCTTATTAGGTTTTTGACTATATGACTACTGCCACTAACTTGTGTGTACCTTTTAATCTTAAATCCACTACTATGGCCTGCAATATCCAATATTGCTGCCGATTATAGTGACAGTATGTAGATGTGGCTATAAAAATCTCTGAATATCAATATCTAGTGGAAATGCTGTTTTATCTTATTGACAGATACTGTGTTTGTTTGTCAGAGCTGTGTGGATCCAAGAGGAGAAGGAGTTGCTACAAGAGGTGGCTGGTATGGGAGAGTTGGTAGAGCCTTGGCACTCCAAGCAGGTTCAACTGCTAGACAGACATCTCCATCTGCTACACCTTTACTCCCAGGCTAGTGAAAACCTCGCTGCGCACAAAGGTAATGCCATGTTATTTTTTTGTAGCTCTAAGTACATAAACACTCAATTTTCGTTATAGACTGGGTAGCTGTGTGGTTATGTAGATATAGTGCTTGCCTAAAAATCATAAGGTCGCAGGTTCGATCCTGAGAAAAATCATAAAATTTTTCATTGTTTGAAAGTGAGAAGACAAGAGTCGAGTTCTATTAACTGCTGTAATTGTGCTCGCTCGGCCTGAAGATGTCCAACTCTAATGTCGAAACGTTGGTAGTTTCTGTATATAGCCCAGTTACGTGGTCGAAGACCAAGATTGTGTAAACATGAGGGACAACCATGGAAGCCTATCCATGAAGTGAACAAAGGCATTTCATTGACCTTTTTGTAACGTAACCATGATAATCTTAGTTAAACCTTAAACCCTACCAACCATTGCTGTCCTTAAAATTTACCTTTGTTACTTTTGTTCTCTATCTTTTCATTGTCTGAAAAACTGTTTGAAAGATTTTACAAGAACAGCACAATTGATGAAAATGTTATCTGATTTGCGCAGGAGGCTTCTTCAAGCCAAGCTCTCGCAAGAACGATCGTTCTCTAGAGTTTGCGCCGGTGAACCTCCACCTGCAGAGAATGTGGGTGCAGAACGATACGCTGAAGAAGTGCGACTTCTACGATGTTGTTACTGTCGGTGCTTTCACTGCTCACTCGCACAAGAATAAGAATGGAGGACTTATCAAGTCAGTATAACGTTTGGAATGGTTGTTTATGAGTATGCAGTATGCAAACTAACTGTATCTTACTTCTTATAATTTTTATGAGGTTGAAATGAAAACAAAATTGTAAATACTTGAGGATGAGAAAGGTTTTTGACCACTATTTTATTTTATTACATAAAAGTTGTTTGTTATAAGCTATTTTTCAGATTTTAATTTTAGATTTGAGTTCAAACACCATCAAAACTTTGATCTACCTTGATTAACCTCAATAATTGCTGTTAAAGATCTTGGTAGCAGTTGCAGTAATAGTCAAAGGTAGTAAACCATATAGTGTGTTTTATTGAAGCTGATTTGTCAGAAGTTAAATACTTGGGATTTTTTCTATGTAAGGTTCAATATATTTTTAAAATTAAGGAAGAAGGTATAGAAACACATTCAACTCACACTCTGAAAAACGAACCTTAAATTAAGTTCTGCTAATAATTAGAATTGTTTACAGGTTACTACAGCAGATAAAAGAATCACCAATGAGAAGCCACAACTCTTCCCCGGGTATTGACAAAATCACTGTTGCGTCCGATGCAATCCAGGTTTGTCCTAGATGCTTTACACTTCATTTAACTTCATACAATAAGTAGCCTACCCAATACCATAGCATATACTTTTAATGTGTTCAACGTGTGCTTTCCTGTGAATTTTTATATCAAAATACTACACATGACTGATATCTGGCCTTAGTGCGATCCCGCATATAACAGAAATGATGGACCCACATTAAATGCATATTTTACAGACAAACCTCCAATTTACCTACGGTGCCAAATCAAATACCTAATATAAAGCTAAACCTGCAACTTTTAAAATAGTTTATTTTGGCATTCTGATTAAAAATACAATAAAACTAGACGTTCTATCCCCATGTTAAAGTTGTCGCTAGTTTTTAAATCAAAATCGAAGTTGATGTTAGCCACCGACAGCTTGTGCTGATTTAAATTACTTCTGTTGAATCCACAATAGTTTTTTTTACCAATTCAAACTGTTGGAACGACTTATTATGAGCTAGGCCTATAGCAACTGTTGTGACACACCAACTATGTCACCAACAAAAAAATTAGATAGAAAATTGAATTTAAGACACTAGCACATTCTGTGACTGGCTTAAACAACTATGTTCTTTTTTAATACAAAATTGGTGACAGCTGGTCCATATGGATGGGTTGTCTAAATTACACTTACCAACAGGTGTAACTGTTGTCAGTTTACAAGTGAAGGTTTTTTTCTTACAGGCCATCAAGCAGCTTCGCAGGGAGGTCGTGGAGGCCATGCGTTCTCTGATGAGGCTTGCTAAAGACAAACAAACACTTGGTATGCTGCCCATCTGCGAGGACATGATCTCTAAGGTACGACAATCTTTCTTTTTATGACTGATAAGTACTATTATAAAAAAGAGGTGGTTGCTGTATGTATGGGAAAAGTAAACGCGAAAAATACTGGTCGGATTGGGCTGAAATTTGGCATGATGATAGCTCACATTCCCGATTAACATATAGGCATATTCTTATTTCAAAAATCCTTTCGGGCTCCGCCCCAGTGGCTCTGGAGTTTCCCATCCCATGTTAACCTTATGAGAAATGAAATTATTGAATCTTAACAGCTGTTTCAATTAAACAAGTTGGTTCTGTTCTGTGATGTTCAATAGCATTAAAGTTACAAGGATTACCAACAGGGTGCAGCACTAGCACTATTATTTCTTTTACATTTATGACAACAGCTAATTTGCAACCAAAAGGTGAGTGAGCGTAGCGAACGAACTTCAAGCTGGAGGCGAGTGAGCGTAGCGAACGAGCTAACCTGAATGCAAGTGAGCGTAGCGAACGAGCTAACCTGAAGGAAAGTGAGCGCAGCGAACGAGCTCCAACCTAAAGGTGAGTGAGCGTAGCGAACAAACTTCAACCAGGACGTGATTGAGCCATGCAAACGAGATCATCTTGAAAATTAAGAAGTTAAACGGGGCAAAGCCCGCGGGTTACAGCTAGTATTATATAAAACTAAAATGTTCATTATGTAAGCTGAAAATTTGGTTGAACCATGGTCATTTCATTCATGACGAGAACTCGTCGCTATCAACATTTCTTCCACCACATGCAATAGCTCTGTGACTAAACCAAACGACAAAACCAATTGCCACTTGACTATTGTGTATATTTAAAAAATATATTTATCAGCAACTTGTATGCAGCAGATAAGTATATTGATAATCATGTCTTTCATAAAATCCTATATTAAATATCAATAGGAATACTTGAACCTGGTAAACCCCCACAAAAATATTTTTACATATTTCAACCAACATTATATTTATATTTTATATTTTACATTATATTTATATTTGTTGGTGAGGCCAAGTACCACTTGAGGTACAAATGGCCATGGGAGTAATTAAGTAAGTATTTCAACCAACGTGGGTACATGTTAGTTACAAAAGGGGCTCTATGGTATACAACAGCCTCTGAATACCCCACTAAGCATTCCTCAGATTTTTACATGTTACTAACTAGATTTTTCACATCTGTAGACTCGCACCCTGTTAACCCTGTGGGACCCAGGGCTGGTAGAAGAAGCTCTATCCTTTGTAGAGAAGAACAAGATGGGAGTGGTGTCTCTGGATGTGGTAGGAGGCAACAATGGGATAGAAGAGAGTCTTACTCTCTCCCCCTTCCGTCGCATCACACAGCAGCTGAGTTTCAACGAGCTCAAGTCGCCCGATTATGACGAACTCATCACACCCGACAGCCCGAGGTGTCTCAAGGTTAGTGGAAGATTTATGATGGTTGTTGAATGTTAAGTGTTAAATTATCACGGTTCACACTAAAACGGGGTAAACACTAAAATTAGAATTTTTCACAGTCACTTACAGAATTTTTTACAAAAGAAGGTTTGAGTTGTAGATGGATATGACTTCAGGTTTACTGGTTGACAGTTTTTTTACAATTGCAGAGTAAAATAGCGCTTTAGACAGTGCAAATGTTTGGTTGTTTTCTCTGTTTTGTCAAGAAAGTATATCAACTGTTTGGCTTTCGGCTTCTTCAGTTTTGTGCTAGCCAAGTCTTTCATCGAAAAGCCAAATTCCAAAAACTATAGTTGACTGCTTGTGTCTGATTTGTCGACGTTTTCAATTTTTTATTGTCTTCTGTATTTATACAGATTTTTTTGTTTATTCAGGGTTTTTGGGGAGACTTGCATCCAAAGACATCAACACATAGAGAGCCGAGTGAGAATCAGTTTGTGATTTTCCCTGATGCTGAAGAGGATGTGGAAAAAGATGATAAGTCCATCGACGAAAACTCTAACGTAGCGAATCTGGAGATGAAACCTCTGGAGACTGAAGAAGAAGAAGAAGACGAGGAAGAAGATGATGGTAGTCTCCCATCAATGTCAAGTGGAAATGACTGTGATGTGGGAAAAAGGTTAGTAGATAAAGTGCTACATTCCTTATCAAAACTTCTTGTAGACACATCTTACAAAAAATCTATGGGGAAGTGATGTACTCCCAGCTATGCATTGTCACACTTTGATTTGTGTGAAATGACTGTTAGATGTTCTAGTTGAAGTATGGGTTTCCTTACTCTCCCTATCAACCATAGCCCAAGGGAATTATATTACTTTATTTCCTTGTAGAAACCAGTGTTATGTATGTTATAGACACCCATGTTGCAGGTTCCTAGACACCCATGTGATGAGTAGATCTCCATCTGCCAACTACTACAAGCCTACAGATGAGCCTGAACCTTGGGATCTGACACAGCTCAACATAGAAGCCAGTGTTATGTATGTTATAGACACCCATGTTGCAGGTTCCTAGACACCCATGTGATGAGTAGTTCTCCATCTGCCAACTACTACAAGCCTACAGATGAGCCTGAACCTTGGGATCTGACACAGCTCAACATAGAAACCAGTGTTATGTATGCTATAGACACCCATGTTGCAGGTTCCTAGACACCCATGTGATGAGTAGTTCTCCATCTGCCAACTACTACAAGCCTACAGATGAGCCTGAACCTTGGGATCTGACACAGCTCAACATAGAAACCAGTGTTATGTATGCTATAGACACCCATGTTGCAGGTTCCTAGACACCCATGTGATGAGTAGTTCTCCATCTGCCAACTACTACAAGCCTACAGATGAGCCTGAACCTTGGGATCTGACACAGCTCAACATAGAAGCCAGTGTTATGTATGTTATAGACACCCATGTTGCAGGTTCCTAGACACCCATGTGATGAGTAGTTCTCCATCTGCCAACTACTACAAGCCTACAGATGAGCCTGAACCTTGGGATCTGACACAGCTCAACATAGAAGCCAGTGTTATGTATGTTATAGACACACATGTTGCAGGTTCCTAGACACCCATGTGATGAGTAGTTCTCCATCTGCCAACTACTACAAGCCTACAGATGAGCCTGAACCTTGGGATCTGACACAGCTCAACATAGAAGCCAGTGTTATGTATGTTATAGACACCCATGTTGCAGGTTCCTAGACACCCATGTGATGAGTAGTTCTCCATCTGCCAACTACTACAAGCCTACAGATGAGCCTGAACCTTGGGATCTGACACAGCTCAACATAGAAGCCAGTGTTATGTATGTTATAGACACACATGTTGCAGGTTCCTAGACACCCATGTGATGAGTAGTTCTCCATCTGCCAACTACTACAAGCCTACAGATGAGCCTGAACCTTGGGATCTGACACAGCTCAACATAGAAGCCAGTGTTATGTATGTTATAGACACCCATGTTGCAGGTTCCTAGACACCCATGTGATGAGTAGTTCTCCATCTGCCAACTACTACAAGCCTACAGATGAGCCTGAACCTTGGGATCTGACACAGCTCAACATAGAAGCCAGTGTTATGTATGTTATAGACACCCATGTTGCAGGTTCCTAGACACCCATGTGATGAGTAGTTCTCCATCTGCCAACTACTACAAGCCTACAGATGAGCCTGAACCTTGGGATCTGACACAGCTCAACATAGAAGCCAGTGTTATGTATGTTATAGACACCCATGTTGCAGGTTCCTAGACACCCATGTGATGAGTAGCTCTCCATCTGCCAACTACTACAAGCCTACAGATGAGCCTGAACCTTGGGATCTGACACAGCTCAACATAGAAGCCAGTGTTATGTATGTTATAGACACCCATGTTGCAGGTTCCTAGACACCCATGTGATGAGTAGCTCTCCATCTGCCAACTACTACAAGCCTACAGATGAGCCTGAACCTTGGGATCTGACACAGCTCAACATAGAAGCCAGTGTTATGTATGTTATAGACACCCATGTTGCAGGTTCCTAGACACCCATGTGATGAGTAGTTCTCCATCTGCCAACTACTACAAGCCTACAGATGAGCCTGAACCTTGGGATCTGACACAGCTCAACATAGAAGCCAGTGTTATGTATGTTATAGACACCCATGTTGCAGGTTCCTAGACACCCATGTGATGAGTAGTTCTCCATCAGCCAACTACTACAAGCCTACAGATGAGCCTGAACCTTGGGATCTGACACAGCTCAACATAGAAGCCAGTGTTATGTATGTTATAGACACCCATGTTGCAGGTTCCTAGACACCCATGTGATGAGTAGTTCTCCATCTGCCAACTACTACAAGCCTACAGATGAGCCTGAACCTTGGGATCTGACACAGCTCAACATAGAAGCCAGTGTTATGTGCCTTGTCAGCAAAGTCAAGTTTCTATGTGGAAGGTGTGGATCACCAGCCGTTAGGCTCAGGTGAGAAATTGTAGTGATCTCACAAAAACTAAAATTCAACAGTCAATTCAGTTGTTCAAATTTTAATGATGGCTTGAACTTTGTTGCATATGCAGCAATTTTCATCTAGGTTATTGCTTGCAGGAATCAGAGGGGGATGGGCCGCTCCAAGAGTTTCCGCAGCGAACTCTCAGCACAACAAGAAGTGGTTACATCTCAGCCGACTAGTGTAGGAGTGAACGGTAACGGTGCGATTGTGAACCAACCGAGGACTAATGGTCCGAAACGGACTAACAGTGACGATGCGCTCAACAAAGCCGTGGACTGTGCAAACATTGTGCGCAACAAGTTTACCGAAGGACTGGACTTTGCGACTATCACGGACTGGACAACAGAACTGCGACCAAGCATGAGGAAGCTGCGGCAAGCCATGGACGGTCTGCTGAAGACCGCGCGGCTAACACACAGTGTGTTCCGCGTACAGGAGGACCGAAGGACTGCACAGAAGGCTTGTAACGTTCGGTACAGGCGGCATGTCTGCTTCTCTCAGGCAGTAAGTAGAATATGTATTTTTTGAAATTAATAAGCTTAAAAAAATACCTGGAATAATTAGTAGGGCTGTTATTCAATGTTTTACAGCTCAATGTAAATTATATTCAATCGTTCCTATTTGGGTCCAAGACATATTAAATTTTGTATTGCATAGTCAATACACTTTGGACAGATCTGTAAGAAACTTAGCTTTTCATGTGTACTTTCAAATATTATCAGTCTTGTTAGAGGGACTCCTCAGCTACTACGGTGATGATACTGACAGTGAGATGTTTGTTACAGTAGACTGCACTGATGGCCAAGCTGTGGTGTCAGAAGCCTGACCCAGTGTTTTTGCTGATCCTGAGCACTGTAGGGCCACTGGTGTCGTTTGAGGGACTCCTCAGCTACTACGGTGATGATACTGACTGTGAAATGTTTGTTACAGTTGACTGCCTTGGTGACTGCACTGATGGCCATGCTGTGGTGTCAGAAGCCTGACCCAGTGTTTTTGCTGATCCTGAGCACTGTAGGACCACTGGTGTCGTTTGAGGGACTCCTCAGCTACTACGGTGATGATACTGACAGTGAGATGTTTGTTACAGTAGACTGCACTGATGGCCAAGCTGTGGTGTCAGAAGCCTGACCCAGTGTTTTTGCTGATCCTGAGCACTGTAGGGCCACTGGTGTCGTTTGAGGGACTCCTCAGCTACTACGGTGATGATACTGACTGTGAAATGTTTGTTACAGTTGACTGCCTTGGTGACTGCACTGATGGCCATGCTGTGGTGTCAGAAGCCTGACCCAGTGTTTTTGCTGATCCTGAGCACTGTAGGACCACTGGTGTAGTTTGAGGGACTCCTCAGCTACTACGGTGATGATACTGACTGTGAAATGTTTGTTACAGTTGACTGCCTTGGTGACTGCACTGATGGCCATGCTGTGGTGTCAGAAGCCTGACCCAGTGTTTTTGCTGATCCTGAGCACTGTAGGACCACTGGTGTCGTTTGAGGGACTCCTCAGCTACTACGGTGATGATACTGACTGTGAAATGTTTGTTACAGTTGACTGCCTTGGTGACTGCACTGATGGCCATGCTGTGGTGTCAGAAGCCTGACCCAGTGTTTTTGCTGATCCTGAGCACTGTAGGACCACTGGTGTCGTTTGAGGGACTCCTCAGCTACTACGGTGATGATACTGACTGTGAGATGTTTGTTACAGTTGACTGCCCTGGTGACTGCACTGATGGCCAAGCTGTGGTGTCAGAAGCCTGACCCAGTGTTTTTGCTGATCCTGAGCACTGTAGGGCAACTGGTGTAGTTTGAGGGACTCCTCAGCTACTACGGTGATGATACTGACAGTGAGATGTTTGTTACAGTTGACTGCCCTGGTGACTGCACTGATGGCCAAGCTGTAGTATCAGAAGCCTGACCCAGTGTTTTTGCTGATCCTGAGCACTGTAGGGCCACTGGTGTAGTTTGAGGGACTCCTCAGCTACTATGGTGATGATACTGACAGTGAGATGTTTGTTACAGTTGACTGCCCTGGTGACTGCACTGATGGCCAAGCTGTGGTGTCAGAAGCCTGACCCAGTGTTTTTGCTGATCCTGAGCACTGTAGGACCACTGGTGTCGTTTGAGGGACTCCTCAGCTACTACGGTGATGATACTGACAGTGAGATGTTTGTTACAGTTGACTGCCCTGGTGACTGCACTGATGGCCAAGCTGTAGTATCAGAAGCCTGACCCAGTGTTTTTGCTGATCCTGAGCACTGTGGGGCCACTGGTGTAGTTTGAGGGACTCCTCAGCTACTACGGTGATGATACTGACAGTGAGATGTTTGTTACAGTTGACTGCCCTGGTGACTGCACTGATGGCCAAGCTGTGGTGTCAGAAGCCTGACCCAGTGTTTTTGCTGATCCTGAGCACTGTAGGACCACTGGTGTCGTTTGAGGGACTCCTCAGCTACTATGGTGATGATACTGACAGTGAGATGTTTGTTACAGTAGACTGCCCTGGTGACTGCACTGATGGCCAAGCTGTGGTGTCAGAAGCCTGACCCAGTGTTTTTGCTGATCCTGAGCACTGTAGGACCACTGGTGTCGTTTGAGGGACTCCTCAGCTACTACGGTGATGATACTGACAGTGAGATGTTTGTTACAGTTGACTGCCTTGGTGACTGCACTGATGGCCAAGATGTGGTGTCAGAAGCCTGACCCAGTGTTTTTGCTGATCCTGAGCACTGTAGGACCACTGGTGTCGTTTGAGGGACTCCTCAGCTACTACGGTGATGATACTGACAGTGAGATGTTTGTTACAGTTGACTGCCTTGGTGACTGCACTGATGGCCAAGCTGTGGTGTCAGAAGCCTGACCCAGTGTTTTTGCTGATCCTGAGCACTGTAGGACCACTGGTGTCGTTTGAGGGACTCCTCAGCTACTACGGTGATGATACTGACAGTGAGATGTTTGTTACAGTTGACTGCCTTGGTGACTGCACTGATGGCCAAGCTGTGGTGTCAGAAGCCTGACCCAGTGTTTTTGCTGATCCTGAGCACTGTAGGACCACTGGTGTCGTTTGAGGGACTCCTCAGCTACTACGGTGATGAGATCGATATGTGGGGGGACATGGTTGTGGCTGTGGAGGATCTACAGACTGTCTCCTTCACCATCACACGCTGTCCGCCCAACACTAGGTAATTTAATTTCATTTCATTTCATTTCATATAACTTTATTCATTAAAGTACAATATATAGATACAGGAATGGCGTCAAGAGTAATTTAATAAAACTAACTAACTAACTAAAATACTCATCATTATCATGCATGGCATAACAACATACCATCAATATTAATAGCTTTTCAGATCAAATAAATTAAAACAAGCAGTGCAATATGAAAGTTTATACATGAAAATATCAAAATTAAAAATATAGATAAAATTATTTTAAAACCAAAAGTTTCAATTGATATGAAACAGAGCAATTATCTAATAACTTATAGAACTAAAACTCTTTAAAGGAGTACATAGCCTTGTTGATAAGAAACTTTTTCAATTTTGATTTAAATTTATTTTTGGAAGTTTCTAATTTGATTTCTTTAGGAAGTTTATTATAAAATTTGGAACCGGCATATTTAGGTGTCTTCGTAAAAAGTTGCAGAGTATGTGAGCTTGTGGCCAGGTTTTTTTGATTTCTAGTGAAGTAATTGTGATAGTCTCCAATAAGTTGTAATTCATTAAATCTGTCTTTTACTGATAATACTGTTTCATAGACATACATTCCATAAACAGTCATAATATTCTCAGTTTTAAAATATTCTTTGACTGAAGTTCTGCGTTTTAATGTAATGTAATGTAATGGTTACAGTGAAACGTCAATCATCAGGGCTGTAATCAATTCCTAGTTAAAAGTAGAAAGGGTCCTAAAGCCATGTGTTTTAAAGGCCAAGAACATTACTAGCCGCTATAAGTATCAATTGCCATATATTAATTAAAAGTATAGAAGTACATAAATAAGAATATTTATTTTTATATTTTAATGGAAAGTCAATTGGCGTGTTAGGTATTTTTTGTAAAGAAACAGAGTTTAACTAGCTTACCTGAAAAAAATTAGTGTTCAGGGTGTAATAGTCGCAAAGATCACAAATTACAACGCTGAGGAGTAGTTTGAAGAGCGTCTTGACTCTAATTTTCTCAGGTTAGCTAAACTATTCATTTAAAAAAAAAAAAAAAAAAAACACTAACATTTACTTTAGTGTCCCACTAGGGTCAGGAGGAACAGTTGATGCAACCTGCATGACAATAAACAGGTTTCCACTGTTTTAAGTAATGCTATTAACTTATAACCTATCTCCCATAAGAACTTTACTTTATGTCAGGAATTGGAGCATAATTGGGGTTTAGATAATGAGATTTTTGGTGAATCAAACAAAAAAACTCATTGATTTGTTACCTCAGAAATATGTCTAGGTATAAAAAGTAGACAAATGTATGAGAATTGCAACTTTATTTTCCTGTAAATTGTAATGTAAGCAAAAAAGATCCCTTGAACAGTGAGAGTTGGTGTTGCTCAGTGAGGAGTTTTAGATTGAAACAATTACAAATCAGTTGGTTCGATAACAGTTTCTTAAATTCAAGAAAGTAAAATAAGTGTTAAATACTAGAAAATATTTCCTTTAAAAATACTAACCTCAAAAAGATTTTCCTCTTTAACATTTACTACTAAGAACAGTTTGGTATTAGCATTACAACCGTATTGTTCCACCCAGACAAGAACAGGTGGTGCCCAAGGTAGCCAAGTCTGGATCGTCGCTGAGTGTGATGCTTCCGGTACCGGACTCTGTACATTCTCTCCTTCCCCTCTCCTCTCCCCCCACCACTTCTGTTACTTTCCACGTCACCCCCGTGTTCTTCAACATTGGCATCAACGAGATGGCCACCCTCGCCGAGAGTCTAGGGGCGACCAAGCCGCAAGAGAGAAGCAACGTGGACAACTTCGACAGACTCAATCAGTACTACCATCGGTTTAGGAAGCTCAACGTGCCTAGTGACAAGAGAGGTTTGTTACATTTGTGTTGCTAGTTTGTTTTACCATAGTTAATGGTTAGGTTAAATTTGGTAAGAAGTTAAGGTATACGTTTGGACGACTCAATAAAAGCTTTACTTACTATGAGTGGACTGACTGTTTCAGTGACCTGAAACTGGTATTTACTTATGTAAATGGACAAAATTTACTTTCTGTAAAAAAATAACTTTCTTTATTTTATAACTGGCTATATTAGTATTTTTTTAGCTTTTATTTAATGAAATTACAGTAGAACGTCGATTATCCGAATTAATTGGGGATTGGGGTTGTTCGGATAACTGATTTTTCAGATAATCGGTCATTGACGGGAAAAATACGGGGAACGAGAAATGACGGGAAGGGATAGCGGCCGGTGGCGATTTGCCGATTTCGCGTCTGTGGATACTGTACAATAATATAAATTTGATTAATTATAGAGATGTGCGAGTGCTTGAGATTTCAAATTTGAGTCGAGTACGGCCTTGAAACTCGAGATTATTTTTTAACTCGGCAGTTTCGAGTCGAGTTTGGTTTAAATTGGTAAAAAAATCAATATTTGTTCAAATGTAACTTGTGTATACTTGAAATACTGGATAATATTTACTACTGTAGATTCTACAGTACCTACAAATATTTTTACATTGTAGAAATAAGCAAGAGGTAGTTGTCCTAACCTATTTTTTTAGCTGTTACAACAGAATAGGTCAACTCAAAGCAGTCGCCGGCGACTGACTAGTGACTGGCAATGAAAAACAATAGAAGGGAGGGAGGGGGGGTCCGCGGAATTGGCTAACTCTGGAACTCGCTAACCCCATGTTAAACGCCCTATCTTCAAATTTGGTCGATGAGAGGAACTCACTAACTTGTTCGGTTTCGGAATTGGCTAACTCCGGAACCCGCTAACCCGCTCTAGAGCCGGGTTAGCGAGTTCCGTCCTCGTACGGAAGTCGCTAACTCGGTCCCTCGGCGGAACTCGCTAACTCCCAATCAGAAGCCTCGCGGGCCGTCCAATGGGAGCCAAGCACGAAGATTTTTAGCCAGTGTTGCCGAAAGTGTAGTACCTATATCGTATAGGTACCATAATGTCGTATCCTACGAATAACTATAGGATTAAGAGCAACGTAGTTGATAAAATCGACAAAAATATACCTTACATTATAGTTGATAGTCGATAAACTATATTTAGAAGTATGTTTAATATTATTCTTATGATTATTAGGGTGGAAAATTTATTATAGTCTTAACATAGCCTAACCAACACAAGTAAACTTTGAAGCTCGTTTTTCGTGTCTAGTTCATGTCCGGTGACACTGATCGCTAGTGTCAACGAAATTGTGTTTCTATTATTTTATAGTTAACTGTATGATTAGTTCTTTAATGTTTGGTTATATAACTAGGGGACGTGTTATTAGTTGTGATTAGAACGATTTATTTGGTTAAACGAGGTTTTAAATGAATGAAAACAAGAAACAATTAATTGTAAACAAAACGCGACCTCTAAAGGCAGTGCACCGGACAGATCTAACAATAAAACTGTCTTCAGCTGATCCATAAGGATGAGAATTGTACTAATATAAGGGGGTATGTTTTATATGTGGTTTTCTCACTTAAATAGTAGCTTATTGGGATGCAAAAAGATAATACACTGTACATTTAATTTGGATCTTTTACATGTTATGAAATATCTATTTTCATAGTCCGCCATTTGTTTCTTTAATTAAAATAAACTAGTTGCTCTGCCCGTGCTTCGCTACGGGGTGAGAATGCATAAAAGAATAATTTTGTTTTACTTTAAAATACTATAATAATATACTTTAAGGAACAGTTGCAACACACTTACCAGGAAACATATAGGCAAAGGCTAAATCGTACTTATTGATTGTTTAAATGAATATCTCTTAATGTATTACATTACCACCATTTTATATAGTGTGTATCCTTTAAAATATATGCAAAAGTATAACTTATTGACCACATGGCACCAAGAAACAATAATTCTCTTTGTAAACAAATTAAATTAAATAGCAGAACAGCATTTCTGACAACAGCTGGAGTTTCATAACAATGTTTGTTTCCCATGTTAATCTTATGGAGAAATACGAAACTTTAAAGGGCCCCAGGGCCTCACTCTCTAATTATTTCCCTATAAAAAAAGTTTCCTGCACAACTTCACGTTACGCTCTTTCCAATGACACCAAAAACATGTCAATCGGTTCAGTAGTTTCAGAGGGAGAGGAGTAATTGTCACAAAAAATCTGCTTGCGTATTAAATAAGTATAGATACCATTTTGTTAACTCCTGCAAATATAATTATTAAGTTCGTATTTTATATACTGGGCTTGTAACCTTGAATCATAAATCATGATAAAATGTACACGTTAAACTTCATTACAGAAATACATTGTATTTGTAATGTTTTTTTTTATATAGCTATTGAATTTAAATAAATATTGATCAATACATTATAAAGTGGTAGGCCTAATGTATTCATGGATTGCATAACAAATTTGTATATGCATAAATACAACTTGTAAATTTCTGTTATCGTAGGCTATTAGTTAGAAGTCGGGTTATCCTCTTAATTTTGTTTAATTAATATTAATTTTACGTCTTTCAGTAGGCCTACTTTTCAAAAGTGTGGATTTTTTTATGGTTCTAAATGGACCCAGTCATTCTGGTTTGTTATCATTTTTATGAATGGTGGCCATAGCTAAAATTACCTGATCTTATCCAAAAACAAAGCTATAGTCTATTGAGTAGCTCAGTACCGGGGAACAGGGAACCGAGCAATGGCTTGGTATAGTTTATTTCGATTGTGAAAGCAATATAAAGGAAACCCAACACTCAAATAAGGAAAATCCGTCAAGTCGTTGATTAAAATCGTGAATTAAAATAAACCTGTCACGTTTTATTATATGAATATTTTATTATATATATTATATTTTATTATATCTTCTCCTATTATTTACTAGTGATGCTTAGGTGTACAATCTAAAAACTGTTTTAAAACATGTAACATTATTACTAAAAAATTCAACACATTTTAGAATCAGGCAACTATTTACTAGTAGGCCTAAAATGCTTTGGTTTAAACCATTAGGCCTACAGCTATTCTATAAGTTGATATGAAACTTGGTCTATGTCATATTTGTACACGTTGGACGATTCAACGACGAACATTTAATTTTAAGTCTATGAATTAGTTATGAAATTTACGATGGCTGATGATTGTATTAATTAATAGTTTTGGTTTATTACGACATTACGATTAAATTTGTTTTCCATGTTTGAGAACTTGCGTGTATTTTAGCTTAATTTCGTAGAGGTTTAATTATTTAGTACCTATTAAACTGAATTTTAAATATTTTTCATATTATGTCATTTTCTTTTAGACTGATGGCATTTATATTTAAGATCGAAATCATAAACATTTAATTGGCCATTGTACAGTTAAATAAAAATAAACACTTTTTCATGGTTTTTTATTGTCTTTGAATTACTTTGGGCTAGTTATCTGTTAAAAGTGGAATTGATAACAAAAAACAATAACATTTACTGTATCTTCATTGACACTGACATTTTGAACTGGCAGTGTACGAGTATTTCGTCGAACAAGGTTGGCAACGCTCCGTGCAGTGGGCGCGGCCGGGTTAGCGACTTCCAGAGTTAGCGAATTCCGCCGCGAGACAAAATCGAGTTAGCGGGTTCCGGAGTTAGCCAATTCCTGACTGAGACGGTTAGCCAGTTCCTGAGTTAGCCAGTTCCGACACACGACCGAGTTAGTGAGTTCCTGAGTTAGCCAATTCCTACGTCTCGGGAGGGGTTGTGCAATGACCTCGAAGTGAGCGGGCGTAACAACACTGAATGAAGTAGGGGGAAGGGGGAGGGTCAGACCTTTGAGCTATATTTAGACTTTTACCACTTAGCAGCCGTGCGGTGGCGTAGCGCTACGGCAGTCGTGATTGGCGCGCGATTTTATTGATTTTTGCTTCTTTCTTCCTTTTGGTTAACCGACGTTTCGGATGACCGGGCTTCGGATAATCGACGTTCTACTGTAGTGCCACGCTTGCAGGTGACCATGATGATTTTCCCATAATCGCGAGAGATGTTCGTGATTTTGCCACAGTGGGTGATGTTAAAAATGTCCCGTGATAGTACGAGATGCGATTGCGAGGAAGTGAATTAATGGGCAGGTGCTGTTCGGGTTATTTTGGCCTAAGGCTGTAAGTATCCGAAAAAATCCCCCACTTCATTGCAGCACTAATCAGAACACTGATTACAACACAAATAGTTCAAATTTTCCACTTGTGTTCAGGAAGGATACATGTAAGAAATGAGTTTTATAACAAGGTTAAGAAGTTAAAAAGTAACGATTCAATCTTGAACTTTGCTTCAAAGACAGCTAGTAAATGTGTGTTTGTAGGGATGGTGCTCAGTGGTCCTCGGTACAGCTTGGAACACCTCGTGGAGCAACTCAAGTCCTCCGTGTTGGTCTCCAGAAGCAAGAATGTGGAGATCCTGCATCTCTCCTCCAGGATATGTCGCAGGATGAAAGGTATGTCTGGAGACTTCTGTTGTGTTGTGTCTGTAAGCATTGATAGAAGTATACGTTTTATTTCCATGTATTAGTCCAGGGTTCCTCTGGACCTGGAAAGTCAGGGAAGGCCAGGGAAACAGGTATAGGGTCAGAGAAGGTCAGGGAAAGTTTTTAAATAAGGATGCAAGTCAGAGAAAAACTTTAAAAATAATGTTAGCCTAAGTCAGGGAAATTTACTATAAACTTCTATAGATCGTTTTAAATTTTTGGATGATTAAACTTAGTTATATTGAGGTGAGATAGTAAAGTCGCTGAAAAGATTCCCAAATTCTGAAAAATTTATATGTAATTTTTATTACCATTTTTGTTGTTTTATTTAGAGCTGTAAGTATTTAGAATTTGATTTCTTATTTGGTGTTTTATTAATAAATATCCCCGCCACAGCAACCCTCAGATTAAGAATATTTCCATTTACCTGGCTGGATTTCTAAAATATTCATTTAAAATTATTTCCTATTCAAATAAGATTAATTTTGATTTATCATGCTATCTAAAAAAAAACTCAACGTTAGATCGTAACAAGACCAGGATTTGGACCGTTCCCTTACAAAAATTGTTAAAAAATTATGGCATGGATATACAGAAATAAAATGCAGAATTAGTTGGAGCAAACTTTTTTTTGGGAGAAGGCAACCAATTATAACTGTTAGTTTATGTTGTGAGTTTAAACATAGACTAACCAACACAAGTAGACTTCTCATCCCATTGTAAATTTTGAAGCTCGTTTTTCATGTCTAGTTCAGTGTACGCCACACTGGGCGCTAGTGTCAACGAAATTTTGCTTCTATTATTTTAGGGTTAATTTCTTGATTTGTGCTTTACTGTTTGGTTAAATAACTAGGGGACAATTTATTGTTTATGATTAGATCGTATTATTTGGTTAAACGAGGTTTTAAATGGCTGTAATAACGGGAAACAAATTGTAAACAAAACACGACCTCTGCATAAACCGTACATGAACTAACAATAAAATTGTCTTCAGCTGTTCCATTAGGATGGGAAATCTACTAAGGGAGTATGTTTTATCTATGGTTTAAACATCTTAATCCCCTCCCCCTCAAAGTCTCTAAAAATAAACTGAAATTTATTTTGATCAACTGGTAGAGAATGTAAGTTTGTTGAGTATGGTAAGTTTGTGTGCTCTGCAATGTGTGTCTGTTATCTAGACATATTCAACATCTGTATACTATATGTTGTTGCAGGACTGAGATTCACAAGCTGTAAGAGTGCCAAGGATCGGACTGGTATGTCTGTGACATTGGAGCAATGCAACATTCTACGGTCAGAGTACGATCTAGCAGAGCATGAGTTCTTAAGAGCACTGGACTGCATGAGGAGGTGGGTTAGCTTCTGCATTAATGTCACTAGGAAATGTGTTTCATACTCTTCCTGAACTGACAGTAACACAAAAATTACTCCTACCATAGAACACTTCTTAATCGGCCACGACGAGACCGAGCCCCTAAACAGATGACGATTTGGCCGGATAAACCAACCAATTATAAAAACGATAATTTGTACACTATAGTCCTCACCACCCTAACTTGAGGCAGCCCAAGGCAGCACGCCGTATATCTGGTGCGGGCTATTTCTGCCTCAACATAGGGTGGCGAAGACTATAATTACATTTGGAGTTTTTTTTTTTAGGTAATTTCACATACAGTATCATTAAAATTAGAAAATTTATTTATTTTAAAAATAATAGGTAACTGACATTAAAATCTCTAAAAAATTTCTTAATTGCATCATAGGACCTCTAATTTATTGTATTTTCAAGGGAGAAAACCTTAGAAATATTGATGCAACCACTTCTGGTCCTCCTAATATGAACATAACTTCTTATAAACCCAGACATGATTCGATATTCACTCTAGTGTTTGTGTAATTGTTGCAGCGAGGGTTGTCGTAGGGAGAACACCTACAAGAACGTGGGAGTGCGCAAGTACGCCTTCAACAGTCTGCAGATCCTGACGTTGCCGAGGCTGTATCGTCCACCCGCTGGCACCTTCGGCTCGGCCCAGTCGTAGTCCCTTCCACGTCTGCGTCCTCGACACTGTCTCGTAGCTGGCTAGTCCACCAGGCACAAGTAAGGGAGAGAGAATGTATAAAAAAAAAACATAAAGCTGCTGAAATTCATGAAAAAGGATGGGAAAGGAATGGTGGGCCTACAAAAAAGGAGACATCAGATCTGCAAACTGGTAGAATTTTTGTCTGGTGGTGGACCAATAAAGAAACATCTTAACACTATAGCGACAGATCAATACAGATTTTCTACAATGAAGGTAGAAAGCAACCAACACTTGTGGCTGAGTTATTTAGTCCTATCGTAGAAAAGGTTTAAATTAATTTCAAAAAGCTACTATGAGACCAAATAAAACATAAAAGTTGTGTGTTCAACAGCTGTAAGGATTAGTCATGAGCCTAAGTCTGATGGAATAATATATAAGTCGATGGGTGCTGTAAAAGGTATAAAGGTTGAAGTAGCAAGGAGTAGCTGTATACAATCACCCCACCACAAACGCAGAGGAAACGTAATAATCAGTGAAAAGTTGGGGTAGACATTCTTCATGTGAAAAGTTCACTTTTAAAATACAGTAGACTCACTATTATTTACGATAATGAGTAGTTGTGGATAATAAAAATTATGGATAATGCAAACCTAATCTAAAATGCCTTAAAAATCTTAAAATTTAATGTGGTTAATCCACTTGTGGATTTTAGGAAGTATACTGTAATTTATTTATGCAAGATTGCAAAAGTAGATTAAAACGTAATAATTGTTTTAGGTCTTTGGATGGAAGCACCTCCAAGTTGACACGCACCGACATGTCGGTGCAAGACTGATCCTGTTTTCATCTCAACTTACTTCAGGCATCACACTGAATACTCATGTTCACCATTGAATATTCAATATTCAATATTGGTAAATTTGCTTTGTGTAGTCAATACCAATAAAACTGGGGAATTTAATGTACAAGATGGAATCTTTCACTATGAATTTTATCCGTTGTTTAGTTTCATACTCTTATGATATTTTATTCTCTTACAAGTATTGCTATACTCAATTCCACGTTTAATGTGCAGTACAGAGCGAGAAAGGAGATAGTCATTGGTAACATCATCCTTGTCGTCAAGCAAGCTGTGTCAGCGTCCACACAATCCTCAAAGGCTTAAGGTAGATTTTACCTTTTTCTTCAACTTAATGGTTTTTGATGGATCATATTTTGACTTAATGACTTGGATTTTGACTTAGTTTTTGCCGAAATCAGTTGTGAAAATTTGTAAGTAAAAAGTAAAGCAAAGAAGCGTTTTTAATTCTCGTGGTTTTAGGACAAATAGTATTGTTGAGGCTGCCATTTCGAGTTCATGGCCCTTGGACGCTCTTTATTAGCTGAACATGGAATAAATGCGAGTATTCAACACTCTCTTAAGAAATGCAATCATTAAAATATGTCAGGGGGGGGTCATTTTGTTACTTTAACAAATTATTGTGTTGTTTCAGCATAGTGGGATCACAACATTTACAACTAGAAAAACGTTTCTTTCTATGTATAAAACTGTTGTTTGTTGTTGTATTGCTTGATTTTTTTATTAAGTCACACGGACAACTTTCTTCTCTTTTTCAAATAAGTAACTTTGATTTGAAAGGAATTTGACTGGGTTTTTAGTCAAAAACAGGTAAATAAAATTTGAATTCAAAAAGTTAAGGATGTAGTAAAGAAACACGCTAAAAGCCAAAGGTATTTGTAAACCTAGAACTGAAGGCCCGACACAAAACAATTAATTATTATAAAACCCTGATGTTTATGTACCTGATGCGTTTATAACAATTCTGCTTTATAAAAATTATGAAACATACATAGCCTAGTTATTTATGGTTTTGTAAAAATCAAAGATGGTGTAATATTTATTATTTTAGCTTTGTTTGCCTTTTATTAGAGATCTTCAAGTGATGATTGCTTCATATTTTGCAATTAAGCATGTGCAATCAAGTCTTTGTGTTAATTTATCTTATTTATTATTTCTTTATTTAATTGTTAAATGCCTAAGTCATATAGAATTTGTGTTAATTAATTAAACTGCTCACTTAAAAATAGTTCTTTACTTACTTAAAATACATTTCCTACTTACAGTATAAATAGTTACAAATTATTTTTTATCGAGAGATTTATGAGAGGAAATAGAGATTTAGCCTACCTAGCGCTCAGTATTCTAGCTATAAGCCATGCAAAGTTTGTAAAATTGTAATGTAATGTTGTAAGTTGATAATCATAAACAATTTCCATTCATAATCACGTTAATTAATAATAAGGAAAATATCTTTCCTAGCAATGCACAACCTTAATTTTTAATTTCTATACATGTTGTATGCTAAGATATTTGTAGTTTAAGGTTAGAGGAAGTCAATTTATTTGCAGATTTGCATATTAAACTTATTTCTAAAAATTAGTTGGTTAAACTGGACTTATGAGGGATAATTTATATTTTATTGGTCAATTAAAAAGTATAAAGTTATTTTTTCCAGTATATTTTTATATTGTTTGACTAACGGCAATACCTTGTACACATTATTTTTCACAGCCATTATTATGTTAATTTTAAAAAATTCTCCCTACAGATGAAATAAAAATGTGTCAATATTCAAGACACAACTTCTAAACTTATTAGGCAAAAAGTACCCGAATTATGCTACCTCAAAAGAGGATTTTTCAAATGATATTGTTGGATATGGAACATAATCATGAAATATTTCTGGGGTCGGTAAACTCATTTTTATTGATTTTTCCCTACAATATGCACGTGTGTAAAACAACATAATTAATCTGAAACTCAACTTTCAGTAGAAACTATGACTAAATTTAATCATGCATGTAAATGTAGTTAGTTTGGGCCAAACTACTATACGTTTGACAACTCATAACAAAAAGAAACTGAATCATAATTTTTCTGTTTCCAATTATTGACTGATTATTTACATTTAAGCTTAGATTAAACTATTTATTGATGTATCTAAATATTTCTACAGTGATAATGTTTGAATATATTGTGTAATTATATATTTATTGTGCCAAACTGATGACTACTATAAGAAATGTACTAATACCTGATCATTGTTAATGTATTAGATGTGACAAAATTCTTATACCTTGTCAATTATAGCCAACTATTTCCATTTTGCTGAAGGAAATAACTGAAATTAATTAAACAATATTGGTCAGATAGACAATTTTACCAGTTTTAAATTGAATTTACAAATTATAAGAAGAAATGTGTTGTGAAAAGGTTGTGTTTTATTGAATTAGAATTTTTATTGTTATTCTTTTTTATGTAAATGACATTTTAAGCCATTGAAAGTTTTATTTGGTTGGTTTTCAATACTATCCAGCTATTTTTAATAGTATTTTATTACTTTGCATAATATTATTTATTTTTGTCGTACTGCAGCAAAATCAGCTGTTTTTAATACATGCGTTGCAGGTTTAAAGTAGTTCTTTTTCCTTAGGGAGTAAGTCACCTGTTGTTAATTCAGTTGTAAACTTCGAAGCAATTGCAAAATTTTGTATAAATTGTTTTAATCGGTTGTAGCTTGTTATCGGTACATCAAGGGTTAATACCAATGTACCATCGATGGTTGACCTATCGATGCTCATCCGAAGTAAAAACATAAAGTCAATATAGGTGCACTCAAACTTAACGAAACATGTAACAGACACGTAAACATGCTTCATATTTTATAATAGGAAGAGCAAAATTACTTGTAGTTCTTATCCTAACGTAATGTAAAAATCTGTAGCCTATGTCAAATGGCTGTATTTCTAAAATATTGCATAATATTTCTCTTTATTTGGTTTTAAATGGACAATCATTACATTCAAACTAAACAGACCGTCACATCATTGTTTAAAATTATTTCTCGCATCTCATATTTTGCATTTACCCGTTTTTAACTATTTTAACCACCAATAATTTTAACATGCTCCTGCTGATCCATTGTCATTTTTACACAACCTTAAAATTTCTATTTAACTCTATTGTCCTAATTATAAGTTTGTAATATTATAAGAAATTTATGTGCTTACACAAATTATAGAAGTTGTAGCATTACCACTGGTAGATAACGCACTAGCTTTAAGTTTTTGTTGTAATATTTTGGGAAATTATAACTTATTCATTTTGAATGTAACTCAAATACGCTTATATTCTTACAGTATACTTAGAAATGGTACTTAACGATTGTTTTGCATTTATATTATTTTAATTTAAGTATATTTATTGTTAGTTAGGGGTCTTGTTCACAAACTACAGTGCTGTTTATTTAGTGATTCTTATGTTAGTACGTTACTTTGTATCCGAATTGTAGTTTTGGTTTTTAAAGCAGGTGATGAAAATGGTGATACAATCTCTTAAATGAGTTGAGTTTGTAGGATTGAAATTACTGTAAAATATTGGCACCTATATATATTTGAAAGTATTTACATACTTTGCTATTCTTTTCAAGACTTGTTTTATAAGAGTTTATCTTTGTAAACTACCAATCAAAGAGTTGGTTTGTCATTTTATTTTTATTTTTTACCTGTATTTTGTGAACAAGTTAAAGTCGTGTGTGGTCAAAAACAAGTTTGTGATTTGTACAACATTTGAATGTTTAGAATGTATAATGTATTCCATCTTTGTTATTTCTGTTATTTTGTTGTTTACTGTCTTAATATTTTAGAGCTTTAATTACATAGATATTTCAATATAAATTGTATAATTTGTATAAATGTTATTATTTAAATATTATTGTAGACTGTAGAAGGTTTCATGTTATATGATCATAATGTTTTGTAAATAAACAATGTTTTATCAATAGTACATAGGTGTGTTTTTATTTATAACTGTTCATAGATTTATTATTTATTGACCTGCACATTTTGACTATGACTAAATGTTTGTAGTTTTTTGGTTAGCCTACTTTTTTAGCTGTTCTAAACAAAAATAAGTCAACCGAGTTAAATACTTTCACAGAGTGGTGATTTTTTTCATCAATGCTTTTAGCTGATGGTTTTGAAGCTCATTTTAAGATATTGGTCTGCCTTTCAAGAAAACAAATACAGTGCAGCAAACCTGCAGACTTATAATAACAACATGATAATACACAACATATAATAACAATGTTTTGAAGTCATAGTAAATTACTAAATTTTGATTAAATGGTTAGGTGTATTTTTTTAACATGTGAATGAATGTATAAGGTTCTTCCCTGTTTTGTCTCATTTTTTCATAGATTGGATTTTGTTTTTGCTTTTGCATTACATTGAGAATTTGGTCGCCGTGTTCTTTTGAGTGCAGATAGATTTGCATTTCTTCTTTTATATTCATTTTTTCACCCTCTTTTCATAATTTATAATTTTGACGCATTCTTCTAATTTGCCATAATTATGATTGTTTTCTATTATATGTACTGCATACATTGAACGTTGGGAAGTTTGATTTTATGGCTTGGATATGTTCTTTGAATCTGCATGAAAATGTTCTTCCAGTCCCGGCCAATGTAGAATTTGGGACAATTTGACATTTAGTTTTGTATATTTCCAGATTTGTTATATTTCTCAACTGAATGTGTTGTTTCTAGATCTATAGCTAATTTTGAATTTAGATGCTTGAAATGTTTTTAGATGCAAATCTATCTACACTCAAAAGAACACGGCAACCAAATTCTCAATGTAATGCAAAAGCAAAAACAAAATCCAATTAATAAAAAAAATCAGACAGATCAGGGAAGTATCTTGTACATTCATTCTCATGTTACAAAATACACCTAAATAAAGTGTTGTAGTTTGCTTGTTTATGGATATTTTTTATCATACTTGGCAAATTTATTTATTTTATACTAAGCTATTAATATTTTACTAAAAAACACACTTTATTAGCGAATTTCCCATACAGGGAATAAGTCATTACTGTGTAGGTCTCATGGTAAGACCCGGGACCAATTTAATTTTTCGTTTTGAGGTCCCCAGAGGCCAAAAACATCCATCCGTTCAAATTCATATATATATATATACACGAGGCATGTTTTTTAAGTAAGTACCGTTTTTAAATTTCTCCGTTCCAACACTGCGATTGGGATTTTCGACATTTGCGCTGTGTATGTGCATCTATTGGTAAGACCTAGCCGGAAATTCGAAAACAATCTGCCGTGTTTACATCCGGTTTCTAGCAATCAAAATGGTGCCGCCAATTGACACTGCCGCCGGCTGTGAAGTGCGCGCTGTAATTAGATTGTTAAGTGCTAAAGGTGTGAAAGCCATTGAAAATCATCGACAGATTAGTGACGTGTATAGCGAGAACATTATCAGTGCCAAAATGATATGTAAGTAGGTAAGGGCATTTTAAGACGGCCCCACCAACTTTCATGATGCGTCATTACTGTCCCCGTACAGGAGGGGGCACGCGAATAGGAATACACGTGTTGCGGTGAAGCCAGCTTTAGCAGAACACTAGAGGGGCACGCGGAGCCGTAGAGTGGCAAAAAGCCGCGGCTATAACATGGGAGAGATAGGGAAAAACGCGACGCGCGCTGTTTCGAATTAACATTTCCGCTAAACTAAAACACCTGTGTTATTCACCGATGGCATTCTTAAAGTAAATTAAATTTCCTATCGAATGGTGTCAATAATTTCTATAAAGACTATTATTTATTATTTGTTATTGAAGATCAAAGTTGAATGATTTGTCCTGGACTTTGAACATATGATTACTTTAATTACGTTTTTGAATGAAATATGATGTATCTATACAAATTAACAATTTTGTCGTGTTCCTTAAGACTTTCTAGAAATAAAAAATATATATTTACCTATATTTAAAAGTTGTATTTAGGAAAATAATTAAAATAAACTTTTTTTAATTTTTCTAGTTTATAAAACAATTTTATTAAATATAGGTTAAAATGAAAAATATAATTTGGGTGGTAAAATACATTTTAAATTTACATTTTTCATTGTTTTCTCGATTTATAAATACCATATTTTACTAGTTTTAAGGCATTTATGGGCTAGACAGGTGATTTTAAATAACCAAAGTTGAGAAAAAACTCAAAGCCGTGCTCACTTTTTTACACTTACAGCCGTTACAATTAAATTACGAACATGAAAAGTAAAACAATTTCTTGGCTATAAAATTCTAGATTTTTTTTAATCATGTTGAGTTATATTTTGATCAATTTGCCCAAAGAAACTTTGAGTAAAATTGTAAATGTTCAACAATCATCGCGTCTTTTGACGCTAAAGTGCGTTTAATCATTCTTTTAAAGGATTTTTTTATTTAAGAAAAGCTTTAAAATACACATACAATACTCCTCATGATTTAAATTTTAATTTATGGCCAGTATTAAAAATAATACACAATATAAGTATGGGAAAAATAAAAACAAGCACATTGAATTCTTAAAAGACAAGACATCGTAGTGTAAATTACTCACCTTTTAACGTACTGTACTATTGGTTCATAAATATTACTTTCCTCTTACTTAGGTTCCTAATATTATGATTGGAATTTAAGTTTTTAATTTTTGTAGCATGGTGTAGTCTAATCTTCAAATAGTTGATTGATATTTCTGTTACCAAATCTCGTATATGACAATCGAATGGTCCTAATTGGTTGGTATGTTCAGTTAAGTTTGAAAAAATATTGTAATGCAAGTCTCTAAATACCATTACGGGCACATTTTTCAAAATGTGTTGATAATGAAGCACTACGTCTTCTTTTGACGATCTGAAGTATGATTCACATAGTTTGCAAATGCGTTGGACGTCGCTGGATGGTTCTGTTAAGAACCCTCTTGACTTGCATCGAATAAGTTCATAATCGGGATTTCTTCGATTATCATTTTCAGGATTTGTCAAAGCGTCAAGGCATGGTTTACAAGTAATTTTTTTTTAAGTGATCGGACGACAAATCCTGAAACATAAATTGTTGTTTAGCTAATACAAATTACGTTGCGGTATTCATAATAGTTATTCAGGGCGTTAACACCAACAAACTTTGTGATATTGTTCCTTAGGTCAAAACAAACAAAATCTACTCATAAAAATATGACCCATCTCTCTTCGTTTACCATATGTTGGTGTGCGTATATTCATAACAAGAACCAATTAATTGCACCATTTCAAAATGGTGTCCATTTAGGCAAATCTAACAATGTAAGCAAAGGGTAGGCTAATGTTATACACACTAAATGTATCTGTAGAAAACAAAACTGAAGAAAAGAAAAATCTGTAAACTTTGTTTGTCATTTTTGAGTTTATTGGTCCTCGCCGACAAGTTTTGTAAACTTGGCGGGGCCATGCTTGTAATAGTTTAAATAAATGAATTTCAATTTGAATTTGAGCTATAAATATAAAAATATAATACCACTGACATATTTTGTCACACAACAATGATATATAAAATGTCTCGGTTATTCTTGGATGAATTAATACATGCATCAAACTTCCAATAACATAGTTTCAAATATTATATTACGAGTCAAATTTTTTAATAACATTATCTGGCGCCTTACCTGCAATATGGCATACGACATTATCCACGTAGGTACCAAGGTTGTTGTAATCGATCGTACTGATAGCTGGATCATCAAAGTCCTCGTAGCGGCTATGATCGATTATTGTTTCATTACGTTCGGTTGATGGCGTTGATACACCACATAAAATTGAAATCTCCGTTAAGTCAACGCAGTTACCTGAGGTACTAGCACGAATTTCATTGTGTATTAGTATTTTCTTATACGCTGATCTGAACTGTCGTGTTGTTGGGTTATCGTTGCAGCCGCTGTGGCGCCTGATAGCCCCAAAGAAAAGTTCGAGGTGGTCTTGGCACATCTTGTAAGTAAGGATGTACTTGCAATATTTCTTTGTTTCAACACAAACGTTGAATATGTTTGAAAATGATGTTATGTTGACTAACCAACCGATAAAGGCGGTCTTCAATCTTGATTTTAGTAACAACTTACCATCATTTTCTTTCAATGTTCTAATATAATTAGATGCATCAATAAAGTATTAGTCCATTTTTCTCTGTTTTCCACTTTTAAGGGGGCTAAAAAATTTTTCCCCACGGGCTTCGAATGTTCATGATGTCAAATAGATGATCGAACATTTTACAATATTTAGCCGTCGCAAGCGCTCCAGAAAACTCAGGTATTTTCAATTTTTCTTCGCAAAACCGCAAAGCGTCTCCGACGGACTGACTGAGGGTCTGGGTAGCTAGCTTAACGTTCATTTTTTTTTTTATCCCATATTGCATATGGGTTTTGTTTAATTTTGTTCCCAGTTTCAATCCTTCTGAAGCTTGAAGCTTTTCCAACTCGGATATGTGGCTCCACTTGACCTTGTTACCATTATCATCAGTTATCTCGCCTAACGAAGCCAATGTGTTCCTTGTTAGCTTAAGCATGTGAGGAGCGTCCAACATAATGAACACCTTACCTTCTTCTTCTGATGGGTGAGGAAAAGATGGGTCAAAATTTGGATCAAAAACGTCTAAATTTGCTCCCAACATACTAGCCATACGTAGATTTGATGAAACACCATCAAACGTCAAACTTATAGTCACTGCTCCAGTTTCAGCAATCTTACGCAAACATTGTGAAACTAGATTGCATTTTTGTTCAGCGCCAATACTGTCGATTAAAAAATACCCACAGGGTATTTTCCATGAGCCATTCAATGCTACAGCCATAAATACCAAAACATTTTTGGCTTCTGGCAAACCATCATTGATTTCGAGTCCAGTGCCAAGATCTATGTATCCATGCACCTGT